TCTTCTGTGAAAAGTCATCTCCCTGGTCCCTTCCAGCTTTCAATTATATCATCCACAACTGTGACAGAAAATTAGCAGATTTCATCACTGTTTTCTAATAAAGAGCAAATCCTGACATTTGCAAAATTAATCCTGAGAGCCAGAAAAAAAATACTCCCACCTAAAAAAGCCTTGACAGCTTTCACAATGAGTAGCACATTTATAAAGCCAAGCAAATTATAAACTATAGAGAAAAAAATCCATACCCCTTCTTGCGGGTGGCACAGTTGAAAAGAGAGTTGCATGGGATTCCTGAACACTGTGTTCACAATTAACCTCTCTCACCTTCTTACTGTGTAAAACTGGGCAAGTTGCTCAGCCATTCTGTGCCTTAGTCTTCTTATTTGTAAAATGAAGACACTAATGACAGATATCCTCATGGAAATTGCAAAAAGATGAAATGAGATAAAAGATGTGATGGCGCTTTATAAACTGGAGAGCACTATGGCAGATTGCAATTCTATATAAATTTCTAAGCTGTAGTTTTATATATATTTCCATAATAGTTCTGTAAGCAATCCTTGAGGGATGAATAGACATTAGAAAATCTTTCTCTTTAGATGAAGTGAGCAACAGCAAAATTATCACTTTTTTGGGCAAGGTCAGAAACATAGAACCACCACTTTGTCTGCAGATCCCTCTTTTTGCTGCTAGAATGTGCCATATTCAAAATGATTCTATATATAGACACAGTAAAAATAGGAGTTGATATAATACTATTAAGGGATGTCAAAACCAGCTACACTGTTAAATCACATGTACAATGATTACAGAAATCAGTTGCTTTTCTGTGCCCTTAAAATGTCATTTGAAAGGTCACTTTCCATTTTCTAAAATAATTTTCCACTCAATATTTTACAAACTTTATAAATATCCCTTTTGTCCTCTTATAAGGTCTTGATACAAATTCTAATATGAGTTTGAGCCCCAACTCAGGACTGAAACTTAAGAATAAGGCTCCTAGTTATCTTCAGAGCTGAAACTCTGTGGGGACCAAAATGCATTCCTCTTGCTTTCTTCAATACAGATGACACAGAAAAGAGCAGAAAGAATTATTACAGGCCATTACTCTTATTATTTACGCTTTGAAAAACAATTTTAAAATGATGCTTTAACTTAAATATAAGACCTGAAGCTATAAAAATCCCAGGGGAAAGAAAAAGCCTAGGAAAAACTCTTTTGAACATTGGGCTAGGCAAAGAATTATAATGACTAAGACCACAAAAGTAAATGCAGCAAAAACAAAAATAGACAAATGGGACTTAATTAGACTAAAAAGCTTCTGCACAGCAAAAGAAATAGCCAATAGAGTAAACAGACAACCCACAGAATGGGAGACAATATTTGTAAACTGCACATCCAACAAAGGACTAAGCAATTCGAACTCAAAAAAAAAAAAAAAATCCACACAAATATCCTCATTAAAAAGTGAGCAAAGGACATGACTAGACATTTCTCAAAAGAAGATGTACAAGTGGCCACTAGGTATATGAAAAAATGCTCAACATCACTAATCAGCACAAATGCAAATTAAATCCATAATGAGATATCATCTTACACCAGTTAGAATGGCTATTATTAAAAAGTCAAAAGACAACAGATGTTAACAATGATGTAGAGAAAAGGGAACTCTTAAACATTGTTGATGAAAATGTAAATTAGTACAGCCTTTATGGGCAACGGTATGGAGATTTCTCAAAGAACTGAAAATAAAACAACCATTTGATCCAACAGTCTCACTATTCAATAGAAAATAAATCATTACATCAAAAAGGCACCTGCACTCATATATTGATTGCAGCACCATTCACAACGGCAAAGGCATGGAATCAACTTAAACATCCATCAGTGGATGACTGGATAAAGAAAATGTGGTATAGATATATGATGGAATACTATGCAGCCATAAAAAAGAAAAAAATCATATCCTTTGCAGCAATATGGATGGAACTGGAGACCATTATCCTAAGTGAAATAACTCAGAAAATCAAATACCAGATGTTCTCACCTGTAAGTGTGAGTTAAACAATGGGTACACACGGACATAAAGATGGAAATAATAGACATTGGAGACTCAAAAAGGGGAGAGGGTGGGAAAGAGGTAATAGCTGAAGAATTACCTATTGAGAACAATGCTCAGTATTCAGGTGATGGGTACACTCAAAGCCCAGATCTCATCCCTATGCAATGTATTCACGTAACAAAACTGTACTTGTACCCCCTGAATACATAAAAATTAAAAAAAAACAAAGACAAAGATAAAAATTATGCTTTAGACTTCATAATGAAGATGAACATTGAAGGAGTGGGTGAGGGAGAATAAGGTAAGGACCTTGGTTGAAGTTAGCCCACTATAATGAAAAAAAAGGGGGAGGAAGATGATGATTGCAATTTATTTATCATGTGATATTATTTATAGACATGGTTAAAAGAAATAACCTTGGAGAAAATATTCATGTTTAAATGCAAAGACGGGACTATAGCAAAAAAGGAAAGTAGAGGAAAGATTTTTGGATTTAATCAGTAATGTCCTGGACACTACAACATATAGCTGTGGACCTGATGTCACTGAGAAACGCTTCATGTGAACAGTGTCCTGAGAAATATTCTTTACAGGGAAAAATGTAATACACTGGTAGACTGTATAAAAGAGTGAGCGGGTATATAGATCCCTATTCCTTTTAAAGATAATCATATCAAATAGAATGCTATTTCATATCTATGGTCTCCATCATCAAAGAATAGCACTTCTAAATACCATATTTGGGATTTAAGAGCATCTGTTTATGCTGGAGATGACTTTCATTACACAATTTGTGAAACAGCTGTCAATAAATCATGAATGACAAAATTTGTTATTTTGTTAAATTAGAGTTTAGAGAGAAGTCTAATTGCACATTAATTCATCACTGGAAAATCTTCTGTAGGTATTAAAAGATAATATTTTACATTGTCCTTTTCCTACAGATTTCTACACATGCATATCTCATGGATTCAATACTTGGTCTGTTAGTTCTAGAGGAAAGTTAATTTAAAAATCATACCATAGCTTAGTTTGGACTGACTATCACCATGGTAACCCATGTCTGACTGTTTACAATTTTTGTCACTCAGAACATACATACAAAACCTTTATAATCAATCTCTCAAAGGCAATACCAAATGTGTTTGATACATGTTGAGCTGAATTTAAAATTAACTCTGGACGCTCCTAAACCCATAATTTTAAAGAAACATCTGTTAGCCTCTTTTAAATGTATATTATCTTCTCAGAGAAGCTGGTGATGACACACTGACTTGACAAATAGATTTCTCTGATGCTCTCAAATACTTAAGTCCATTGAGAGACAAAATATTGCATGATGTTGCTTTTTACTGCATGACTATGCACACAGCAGTGATTTTTTTTTTAGTGTATTACAAGCCTTAATAACAGTCAGTGAGAGTCAACTGGTCAGAGCCCAAGGAATGAAGTAAGACTTTTCAATTGTTTTCATCATTAATGTGAAAAGGACTTTTTTCTTTTTATATTTATTCATTTATTCCTTCATTCACTCACTAATCAACATGCATTTATGGAATACTGAAGGTCTAATGCCAGGTGTGCAGGATACGATGACGGAAAAAACCTTGACTTACCATACTCACTCTTTCCTTCCTCACAACCAATACGCTAACATGCCTTCATCCCTTCATGCCACAATCCCTCCAAAATCCTCTTAATTAGTGCTCCTGACACCCAAGTTCCACCCTCTTAAACTTCTGTATACTCAGTTATAGAATAATATTACTTAATCAAGAGTGTTACATCATCCATATTGATACCACCACTACCACTAATAATAATAAAAGTAACTAATACGTATTATTTCTTGAGCCATTCACTTTATATACTTTGCTATCTTATTTAATCCTCATTGTAACCATGAAAGGTGAAAATAATATTGTTATTTCATTCTCAACCACAGCTTCTTACTAATTGAATGTACGTGCCTGTGGGGCACCGCACAGCTTCTCAAATCCTGGGATCTGGTTGGACACTATCACTTTCTTTTTCCATTTCACATGGATTTCTGCAGGGTACTTGCTTTTATCAGAACAATTGCTGAAAACCTATCTTGCAAAGATACAATCTTCAAAAGGAATACAGTGCAATGTAATGTTTAAACTGTGCACTATCTTGAGCAAATAGTTCATGCAGTGTTTGACAGATATTATCACTGCTCCTCTTGAATATTTAAAACACCTTGTTGTATTCCTTTGAATCTGCTGCAGCATCCTAAGATGCTTTTGTGCATTTAGGAACTTTGGCCCTAAGTAGAAATAGTCCCCTTTCAACTTTGCCTTTTCATAATGCTCATGTGGCACGTACATGTTATGAATTGTATCCAAATAAACATATGTACAAATCTTATGTCTGCTCCAAGATCATCTAATCCACAAAGTTCAGGGATCATTTCTTGCACATGCACTGGCACAGAAGCTAACACCACACCTTGCATGTAGAAAATGCTCAAATGTACTTTGAGCATTTTGAATGATGGGTTAAAAAATTATAGTATGTATTTATGTATTTTACATTTTTATGCTCTAAAAAATATGCTTCTAATAAATCTATTTGATTTAGGTCCAAGATCATTCAAGAGGATTAAAAAAAAAGATCTGTAAAGTTTTCTTTCAATGAGTTAAAATGCTGACAGTTTCTAGCAAAACATACATACACTCAGCCTGCAAAAATTCACATTATAAAAATTAAATAGGGGAATGGGATTGAGAATACAGCTAATGTGAGGAAATGTCAAGTTAGTTGCTATGATTTTTCTCTTATTTCTTCTGACTGACTGGAATTTCAGTCCTAGCACTAGTGAAAGAGGATCAGTGCTGTATATTAATTCACTTTCAGACTAAACTGACTTCAAAGCACAAAGCAAGCACTTGATGACAGCAGAGCCCTTAGTTACCTGCTGTTTCTCTGTCAGCTGAGCTCAGCTCTCCGTTGATCCCATTCTCTTTGGTATTTGAATAGGTGCCCTGTGACCCATGCTCTCCAAACGCGCCCTCTTCATCCTCCCTGTATGGGAATCCATTGGCGCTTCGGACAAGTCCTTCCCCTGCTCCGCCTTGATCCTTAATCTCAGGTGGATGTGAGTGTGCCGATGCCTCTGTTAGCTGTGCTGAGGTCCAGTGAGGTGCCTTTGCTTCATCTTTCCGTTCATCTGCCATTCTTCAATGCCTTGTTACTTCTCCTGCAATTGAAAGAGGAAAAATAATAGCTATCACTTTGGGAAAATCTGATCTGATATTGGTTTTACCAAGATTGGAGAAATTTGTAGCAAATCTAGAGGCTAAGTCAAAGAAAACATGTACAATAACCTATGTTTAATATCAAGAATGGATCAATTAGCTCATCTTGAGTTTTACAGACTGTTTCTGGAATATTGGTTCTTTTAAAATAAGATCACCGTCAATTTATACATATTCCTATTTGTAAAAAACAAACAAAACAAAACAAAAAACCCAAAAACCAAACCAAAACAAAACCCAAAAAACAAAACAACAACAAAAACCTAGTGTTTGGCATTTAGGTACACATCTTCATGAGCTTTCACTGAATATGGTCTTGAATGTTGACTGTACAGCAGAGTCAAGGAATCCTGCAGTATAGGAAAAATCTGCAGTATGAGAAAACTGGGTAGAAAAAGTGGGAGGAAGAATGACAGCAGGAATTCTATACCATGGAAAATTATCCCATGTACTCTCTTAAATCATGACTTTCAGCAAAATCTAGAAAATACAATAACTAATATATTAGCCTTTTCAGTTTCAAGGGTGTTCAATTAAAGCCAGAGGTAGGTACACTTTTCTGGATATTGTGAATTAAAACAAAGATAGGTTTAACTTAATTTTTCTCTTTTTTGAGACAGAGTTTTGCTGTTGTTACCCAGACTGGAGTGCAATGGCACGATCTTGGCTTACCACAACCTCTGCCTTCTGGGTTCAAGCAATGCTCCTGCCTCAGCCTCCCAAGTAGCTGGGACTACAGGCGCACACCACCATGCCCAGCTAATTTTTGTATTTTTAGTAGAGACAGGGTTTCACCTTGTTGACCAGGATGGACTCGATCTCTTGACCTCATGATCCACCCGCCTCAGCCTCCCAAAGTGCTGGGATTATAGGCGTGAGCCACGCCCATACATTTAACTTAATTTTTAAAATAAATTTCCTGTACCCTATCTATATACTAAGAGGAAATAACATTTTCTATTAATATAAATCTTACAGAGAGAAAGGAAGTAAATATAGCATTGGGCTTACATCCTATCTTATGGCATTATTTCTTAGCTAAATCAAATAAGATCTGAAAAAGTTAAACCATTGACATATAAGAGGAAGTTGTAAATTATAGCAAAGGATGAATGAGTTGTGGAGGAGGTGTTCTATACATGTTAACTGGATGGCAGATATTGCATGACCTTCTCTTACAAGCTGATATTACCAAGTTTAGATATGTAATTGACAAGAGGTGATTCACCACTCAGTTTTGGAAAGCTGTTGCCCACAATGTAGCCTCGTTGATGGCTTATTGTCTCCACAGTAAGGATGACAACACAGACAATACTGTCTTTGATGGAAAGTAAGAACATCTTCCTTTTTTCAAAAAAGTATCTCTAAAAAAGACCTCCAAACAAGTAAGCAAAAATTACCTTAAGACAAATACACTTCCTACTATCAAGCTCTGTTTGGAGAAAGTATAAATAAATTAAAGTTTTCCCATCAGATTACTAACAAGCATTTGTCTGGGGATTTTTAACTGAATTTTGTTGCTATCCTCCACTGCCCCTGTTTCTCTTCATAGAAGAAAGAGCTAGATGAATTAATTCATTTAAACTAATTTGACTACAGCACCAAATCTCCCCCAAAAATGATTCCTAAAACAGCTCATTTATCTTCCCTAAGAACATATTTAAACAGGATATAAAAATTTAACTTTCAAAACATTGTTTGAAGGGCTTATGAGTCAATCAGAGAGTTTCCCTACCTCATCAACTATGTGTAAAGAATTGTATACACAGGAGAGGGCTCAACACAGTTCCTGGCATGCTCAATAAACAGTAGTTATTACATTTGGTACTGTTTATTAATTATATCATTAATCATTATTTATACAACACTGGCCTAGGAACAGGAGCCTGAAAATTTGGTGAGTACAATAATGAGAGTTACTTGCAAATCTGTCCCCAGATATTGTGTAGGAATGAATGGCTGTCCCAAGATGGGCATGGCAAATGTACCAGACATGGTAGCCTAATGAGAAGAGAACATCCTCGGAATTAACCTCTTCCTGTGTACACTGAAAAACTAGCTACATCTTTTCATAAAAACCATTCTACAGTGTTCTACACTCCATTCTACCATTTTCTTCCAGTCACACATCAAAAGATCTAATTGAGTAGCCTAAGCATTGTGTTTCCATTGAGTTGTGGCATCTTCATATATGTAAAGAACAGAGGAAATATCTAGATTCCAATTGTAACCTTTTGGATCACAACATTTTACTGATAGATTCTTGCCTACCTCAGTATCCTAATCTTTATGTGCTTTTCTTTTGTTTTGCCAAACAGTTTAATTAAGATTTCCATATATGACCCAATTTATTTTGTGAGAACATTGTAAATAGAAAATGTTTCACATAAATAACATGCCTTGTTGATGTAGCTTTTTCTGAGTTATTAGGCTTTATATTTTTGAAACAATTTTAAATTTACAAAAATATTAAGTGCAGAGTCCCCATCTACCCCTGCACACAGTTTTCCCTATTTTAAACATTTTGCATCAGTATGGTACATTAATATAATTAATGAACCAATATTGATACATTACTTTTAACTACAGTCCATAGTTTATTCAGATTATTTTTGTTTTTACCTAATATCTTTTGATTTCAGCATCTCATCCAGGGTACTATATTACATTTAGTCCTCATGTCTCCTTAGGTTCCTTTACGACTTTGACCTTGCAAGTTTTTAGTAGTACTAATCAGACACATCATAGGATACCCCTCTACTGAAACTTGTCTGATTTTTGTTATGATTAGTTTAAGGTTATGTGTTTTGGGGAGGAAGACCACAGAGGTAAAGTGTTCAGATGAGATGCTAAGCTACACTATGAGCCTTCTGAAAGCTTTTGACATGCTACAGGATGTTTGAATCTCAGGCAAAGGCAGTGATGTGCAAAACATCCCAAGCCACTTGGCCACAGAACACTTTTTCTAATACTATGTTTATTAACATCCCCAAGAGGATCTGGGAAATATTTAGGTTTGTATTTTAGTCCATGTTTAACTCTAGGAGTTCTAGCCACCAAATAGTCAAAGCGAATAAAACAATATAAGTATCTACAATTCTCAGTTACATTTGGCTCCTCTCATTCTCCTGCCATAGTGCTTTCTGGAACAGATTTCTCAGTGACCAAGAATCCTTATTTTAAACCTAGCAAACTAACACTTAAATAGAGAGAGCGCTACCTGGTAACCATACATTTAAAATATTAACATAATTTGTTTCCAAGAGGACAAACATTTAAAAAATAAATTCCTTAGTATTTAATGCTTTAGAGTTTTGAATTTTTTTATTGTACTTTAGATTCTGGGGTACATGTGCAGATCATGCAGGATTGTTGCATAGGTACATACATGGCAATGTGGTTTGCTGCCTCCATCCCCCTGTCACCTACATCTGGCATTTCTCCCCAGTGTTATCCCTCCCCGACCTCTCCATCCCCTGCTGTCCCTCCCTTGGCCCCCCACCCAACATTAAGTTAGTTAATAAAAACTAATTTTGGAAGATGAAAAGTCTGGCTAACGGCACTGATTTCACTTAATACCAGAGTTATAAACCAATCAAACTTATGACCTTAAAAGTAACACTTAACTTCCTACTAAGACTATTCAGATAATATTCCCTAAAATGTATTCAGATTAATCAGGTATTACTTTTTAATTTATTGAGCTTCTTGAAATGAAGATAGTCGAACCATTTAGTAAGTAATGATCATTCTAGGATATTTCAAACTAAAATTAGCATGGCTCTGACAAAACTACTTTTACAGAAAATAGAACCTGAAAAAATCCAAGACATTTGCCTCTATTTTAGGGAAAAGTTTATTGAACCAAAGGAGACATTATTTGAACAGAATCATTTATAATCACAATATAGTATTATTAAAATGCCACCCATAAGATGATAAATTTCACTTATACTACTAACCAAAGTTTTGGAGTCAAAGGTTATCTCCAGTCTTCAAAATGGTATTTTCAACGTAGTTAAAAGTGACCATAGCCTTCTTTAATTTCTTCTTCCTGATGTAATATTATTTTTACCTGAGTGCCTTTGAAAATCATGTGAATGTGCAATTAAAGGCTGGGCAAGGTTGTGCTCACCTGTAATACCAGCACTTTGGAAGGCTGAGGTTGGAGGATCGCTTGAGGCCAGGAGTTCAAGACCAGCCTGGTCAACATAATGAGACCCCCATCTTACAAACAAATTTTTAAAAATTAGCTGGGTGCACCTACTCAGGAAACTGAGGTGGGAGGATCACTTCAACCAAGGAGAATGAAGCTACAGTGAGCCATGATTGTGCCACAGCACTCGCCCTGGGTGACACAGCAAGACTCTGTCTCTAAAGAAAGATAAAGATTAAAAAGTGAAGACAAAGGGAAGTTCTCTCCAAATTTACAAAAGAAACTTGTGAGATACTAGGAATTTTTAATGTTCCTACTGTGCAACGGGAAACACTCTCCTCTCTCCAAATTGCCAAAGATCACAGCTCTTAACAGCTCCAGCTGCCAAATAGCTGGCATCTGCCACACAATTCCTGCTTTGATAAAGCAAGCTGAGAAGCTACCTGAACTCTTATTTCTCTTCCTTGCGAAGCCTAGCTTGATAATGTGAGCAAGAAAATCTAAGACTAAGACAATGATTTGCAATTTATAATATATTGCAATGGGAATCTTACTTGATAGGGCAAAACACAAATGTCAATATATAATGGGAATACCGTTATGTGTGATATGCATTTTTGAAAAATCTAGGAAGTGGCCGGGCACAGTGGCTTACGCCTATAATCCCAGCACTTTGGGAGGCTGAGGTGGATGGATCATAAGGTCAGGAGTTCAAGAGTAGCCTGACCAACATGGTGAAACCCCCACTCTACTAAAAATACGAATAATTAGCCAGGCATTGTGGTA